TATATAGTCTCATGTATCTTAGGCTAACCTCAAACTCACTACATATCTAGGATGACTTTGAACTTCTGACTCTCCTGTCTTCCTCTTCCAAGTGCTGGGATTATAGGCGTATGCCACCATGCCCGGTTAATGTGGTGCTGGGGATTGAATCCAAGGCTTTGTGCATGCTAAGTAAGCACTCTACCAACTGAGCTACATCCCCAGTCTTGAACTGGATATTATTATTATTATTATTATTATTATTATTATTTTGGGTTTTCTGAGACAGGATTTCCCTGTGGCCCCAGCTGGCCTGGAACTTACTATGTAGACCAGACTGGACTTGATCTCACAGAGATCGGCCTGCTTCTGCCTCCCAAGTGCTGGCATTAAAGGCGTGTGCCACCACGCCCACCTCTAAACTGGATATTATTGATGGCCTTATTTGATAGTTAAGAACACTAAGGCATCAAGAGGTTTTATCCATGGCCAGCCCATGGCAGACATAAGGCCAGAATGCAATGGGTTTGACCCTAGCTTATTGCCCTTAACCATAGTCTTCTATTGTCTCTCTGTGCTACACACGTGGATAGTGGAAGGAACTTCAGGCTTATTCATTTCCATGAGGACCTGAGGCAGAGAGAGAAAGGGAATTGCCCAGGGTCTTAACGCTTGGGGAAGACAGCTCCAGGCCTCCTGCAGCCCAGTCAGTGGCACTTTTCTGACTGCATCAGCTTTCCTAGTTGACCTGCTGAAATTGTCTCAAAATGTCAGATGGAAAGGAGTTTGATGACTACTCTCTCCTGCCACTCTATTCTGCAGGTGAGGAAACAGGCCCAGACTTTGATAGGAAGATACATGCCCTTTGGGTGATGTTCAGCTACACGCCTCCTTTGAGAGACTGGAGCAGCTAGTGAGAACCATACAGGAAGTAGGAGGAAGGCAGGGATCTTTCTTCCCCTTTAGGACACAGTCATAGGCCCCACAGACCCAAAAGGAACATGGGCTAGGGCGCTCCCTGGCTAGGGCACTCCCACCTAGTTTACCCCATCAAAACAGGGCTGGGGTGTAAGAACCACTTCTGTGAGTCTGGGAAGCCAGATGCCAGGAGGATTTGACTGAAATATCTCAGACACTCTGCCCCAGGGACCAGGCAGGAAGAGGAAGATGAGATGGGGGTGGGGTGGGCAGGAGTGTCATGAATACTATCCCAGGCCCTCTGCCAGCATCTCTCCTTCCCTGATACCGGACATTAGCTGAAAGGGCTTAGAAGTTTTCAGGTAGCAGGCTTGACAATCCCTTCTTGGGAACAAGTGGACTCTGCAGTGTCAGATCATGCCTGTATCCTTGCTAGGGCTTAGTGTTAGGGGAAGGGGTGTCTAGGAGTCTTCCAGATGAGAGAGGCTTTCCCTTTGCTATGAATGACACTATGGGACAGGATAGAATTCTGTCCACTGACTGTGTGCCCTGCTCTTTAGCCGCTCCAGTCACATCTCTCCACCTGCACTAGCCTTGCCCAATGAGGCTCAGAGGAGCAGGGCTGGGAGAGGCTGGCAACCAGGGGACCAAAACTACTGTATGGTTCCCCCAGTTAGCCTGTTCCATGTATCTAGTAAAAGCCAGAGAGAGCCAAATAGAACTATCATAGGCATCTCCTAAGAGCAGGAGCAAAAGTCAAGAAACACTTCCAGATTGATTTTTTTCCCAAGTCAAGCCCCCTTGAGTGGATGGGGGCACACACACACATCTAGTTTCCACCTTCAGCATCTTGGCAATGGGGAGGGGGCCACCTAGGGTAAGGGTCATGGTTCTGAAACTGAACTGAGGCTTTGTCCTTTGGTCCCGCCCCCAGGGCCCCAGTGAGTGTTGAGTGCAGCTGGGGAGAGTTTCTTCCTCCCAGACCCTGAGTGGCCCTCTGGGATTTAGAGAGGACAAGGAACTATCCTGGCTGTGGGCAGCCCACGGAGTTCCCAGGCCCTACCCGACCTCACACCAACCTCTCTCTCCACATTGCACTCCCCACACTGAGCCAGATGGGGGGCAGGGAGGGGGAAAGGCATTCACAACGACAGACTCTAGAGGAGCACAGACCCAGCCTTGTTCAACTCTGCAGCCACCCAGTTGGCACCTAGTAGGAGCTCTTAAGTGGAGTCTGAAGAGGGAGGGAGGGAAGCTGGAGAAATAGCTCTGGGATTAAGAGCACTGGCTGCTCTTACAGGGGTTCAGTTCCCAGGTCCCACCTGAGGGCTAATAACTGTCTGTAACTCCACTTCCAGGGAATCTAATGCCCTTCTCTGTCCTCTGTGGGCATTGCATGACAGGGGTGCACTTAAATACATGCAGATAAAACATTCACACACATAAAATAAAAATAATTAATTAAATGGAATCCTGGACTCTAATCTGTGGAAATTCCCAGTCTATGAGGGAGAGCTAGCCTCTGTCCCATGGGAACTTTATTTGATGGAGGAGACGTAGTCCTTGTCCTGGAAGAAACATGCCCCATACACACCCATTTGATGGAGGAGTCTCTTTCCACTCCTGGTGAAGACTCTGCACATAGGGCGGTGAGAACCTTGCAGTTCTCGAACCTTGAGAAAGATGAGATGAGCACTGAAGTAGGATTCAGGATTCCTGCCTGGGCTTTGATGCTGTAGAACCATCAACTGGCCAAAGCTACCCAGCCTATAGCTGTCAATCCCACATCTGCGAAGAGGAGTTTGGATCTGACTTCTAAGGTCCTGTTTTAACATCTGAATTTATCATGGAACAACCACAGAAGAGGTTGTCTTGTTGTGATCCTGGAAAAGCAGTGACATTATAGAATTCCCCCAAAGCTTAACTTTTCCTACATGCCTAGCCTGTATACCTGCCTATTTACTCCAGACATCTATTGAATACCTACTGCATGCCCACTACTGTGTTCAGTGACACAGCCTTCACCTTTTGGGTACCTGACGGTCTTCTACAAGATCCTTGAGGGACTGGAGAGATGGCTCAGCAGTTAAAAGTATTTATTGCTCTTTCAGAGGACCCAGGTTCAGTTCCCAGCACCGACATGGCAGCTAATAGCTGTCCTTAACTCCAGGTCCAAGGGATCTGATGTCTTCTTCTGGCCTCAATGGACACCAAGCCCAAGTACATGGTGCACTTCCATACATGCAGACAACACACTTATACACAAAGAGTGGAAATTTTTTTAAAAATTTAAAAAGAGCCTTAATTGGAGCTAGGTAAAGAGAGTTGTCCTAACAGAAGAATCTCTCTCTCTCTCTCTCTCTCTCTCTCTCTCTCTCTCTCTCCTCTATTTATTTTGGGGCATGGTGGCACACACCTTTAGTCTTGGCACTAAAGAGGCAGAGGCAGGTAGATCTCTGTGAGACTGAGGCCAGCCAAGGCTATAGTAGACCCAAAAAGAAAAAGAAAAAAAATTAAAAAAAAAAATTTTAGATATATGAGTGTTTTGCCTGCATGTATGCAGATGTATGTAGGAGCACCATATGTGTACAATGCCTGCAGAGACCAGAAGAGGGTATCAGATCCCCTGGAACTGGAGTTATAGACTGTTGTTAGTTGACATATGGGTACTGGTAACCAAACCTGGATCCTCTGCAAGAGCAGCCAGTAGGTTTGGTAATCACTAAGAAATCTCTACAGCCCTCAGAAGAACCTCTCTCATGAGCTGAGATGTCCAAACTTTCATCCCATAACCTCTTTGTAGGTAGGTGAAAGGTATATGCTGTCCATGGGGAGAAGGAACTATCGGTTTCTTTTGGGTGTCATGGACCAAGTTCTGGATGGAACACTTTCATGTTATGTCACCTAAGCCTTAATATTATCCCTATTTTAAAGATGAGGAACTGAGGCCTGGAAAGGCAAAGTAGTTTGTTCAAGGATCAGGTAGCAAGTGACAGATTCCCAAGGCTTTCCAGGCAGGAGCCAGCACTTCACGGCACTAGACAAGCAACCGACAGGAATGCTGAGGGTAAGAAAAGGGACTGGTTGAGAGAAACCCTGTTTTCCCCTAAGTCTCAGAGTTTGAGCAGGGGCAGCCTGGGAGTATTGAGCTGACACCGCCCAGGATCTGAGCAACCAACTAGCCACAGCTCAAATCCTCTCTGAATTAGAAAGCAATTAAGAGTTATCCCATCATAGGCCAGGCGTGGTGGCGCATGCCTTTCATTCCAGCAGAGACAGGCAGAGGCAGGCGGATCTTTGTGAGTTCAAGGCCAGACTGGTCTACATAGCTAGTTCCATGCCAGCTGGGACTACAGGGAGAACCTGTCTCAAAAAGACCAAAAAGAAAAGAAAAAAAGAGTCATCCTATCATAGCCAAACATGGTGATGCACGCCTTTAACCCCAGTACTTGGAGGCAGAGGCAGGCAAGTTCAAGGCCAGCCTGGTCTACAAAGCGAGTGCCAGGACAGCTGGGGCTACTGAGAGACCTTATCTCAAAAAGATCAAAAAGAGTTATCCCATCACACAAATCATGGTGAAAGGGCTGGAGAGATGGCTCATGGTTAAGAGCACTGGCTGCTATTTCAAGGACCCAGGTTTGGTTCCCAGCACCCATATGGCTGCTAACAACTGTCTGCAACTCCAGTTCCAGGGGATCCAATGTCCTGTTCTGACCTCCACAGGTGCACTTACATACTTCAGGCAATACATTCATACACATAAAAATGTAAATAAAATATTTTTAGAAATCATGATGTAGTCTTCCTCTATACCACCTCCTTAAAGTGTTTGCCCCCTTTGTTGCTGTGTCAGGGGTTTGCTTCATCCAAAGACAGTTTCAGAGGGTTAGAATTCACCTTCACACTGAGATAAAACCTGCCTTCTTGCAGTGCTCCTAGTTTTAAAGATAAGGAAACTAGACTGGCAAGATGTCTCAATGGGTAAAGATGCTTGCTGCCAAGGCAACCTGGGTTGGATCCCCAGAACACACATGGTGGAAGGAGAGAACCAATTCCCACAATTTGTCCCTTGTACCAGGTCACGCATGTACCTACACACATACACATATACATATAAAATAAATAAATGTGAAAAAAAGAAATTTAAAAAGATGAGAAAACTGAGACCAGAAATATGTATATATATATTTTTTGGTCTTTTTGAGACAGGGTCTCCCTGTATCCCCAGCTGTTAGACCAGGCTGGCCTCAAATTCATAGAGATCTGCCTGCCTCTGCCTCCCAAATGCTGGGATTAAGGGCATGTACCACCATGCCTGGCTTTATTCTTTTTAGCTTTATTTATTTATTTATTCATTTATTTTGTGTGTGTGTGTGTGTGTGTGTGTGTGTGTGCGTGTGTGTGTGTATGTGCGTGTGTGTTCTAGTTTGCTTCTCCATTGCTGTGATAAAACACTCTGACCAATACCAACTTAGGGAGGAAAGGGTTTATTCAGCTTACATCTCCCAGGTCACAGTTCATCAGGGAGCCCAAGGTAGGAGCTCAGGGCAGGAACCTAGAGGCAGGAGCTGAAGCACAGGCCATGGAGGATTGTTGCTTACTGGCTTGCTCCTTTGGCCTATGCTCAGCTTGCTTTCTTATACAACTCAGGACCACCTGCCCAGGGGTGGCACCACCCACAGTTGGTTGGGCCCTCCCACATAACTCAATAATCAAGAAGATGTCCCACAGACAAGACCACAGGCCAGTCCAATGGAGGCAGTTCACTAATTGAGGCTTCCTCTACCCAGGTGTGTCGAGTTGATAACTAAAGCTATCCAGCACAGTGTGTGTGTGTGTGTGTGTGTGTGTGTGTGTGTGTGTGTGTGTGTGTGTGTGTGTGTGTGTGTGTACATGCTCACATTCAGGCCACTGCAAAGCTGTAGAGGTCAGAGGACAGCTTACAAAAGTCAACCCTCTCCTTCCGCCACATGGATCCTGAGGACTGAATTTAGATCATCAGGCTTGGCAGCAAATGCCTTTACCCTCTTATAGCCCCAGCTAGCCTCATTATGGAACTCACTATGTAGACCAGGATGGCTGGCCTTGAACTCACAGAGATCTGCCTGTCTCCTCCTCTCAAGTGCTGGGATTAAAGGCGTGCACCACCACGCCCAGTTTATTGTCTTTTTTTTTTTTGGTCTTTTTGAGACAGGGTCTCCCTGTAGCCCCAGCTGTCCTGGAACTCACTATGTAGACCAGGCTGGCCTTGAACTCACAGAGATACGCCTGCCTCTGCCTCCTGAGTGCTGGGATTAAAGGTGTGTGCCACCACGCCTGGCTTTATTTTCTTTTTTTTTTTAAAGACAGGGTCACTTGTAGGCTAGGCTGACTTTGAATTCACTATTTAGTGGAGGATGACCTTGAATTTCTGATCCTCCTACCTCCACCTCCCAAGAGTTGGGATTATGGGCATGCACCATTGCACCAGTTTATGTGGTGCTGGGGACTGAATCCAGGGCTTCTTGAAGTGAGCTCCAGCCCAAGAAAGACTTTGAATAACTCCCCCAGCCTCACATAGGCTTGGAAGTAGCAAAGTTCACATCAGTAGAACCTGCCCAGGTCCCCATCTTGCCCTCTCCAGCATGCCTGCAGTGAGACCAGCTCTCTCCCCATAGACTCTATCAGGAACCAGTCTGTCTGCATAGGACTGTGACCAGCCCAGGAATGTGGCTGGAAGTTGGCTCTCACTTCCTCAGCTCCTACAATGCAAAGGAAAACCTTAGCCATGATTTGTACAAGTAATTTTGGCCTGAGGATGTAATCTAAACAAATTCCTCTGGTACCTTAAATCTTAATAAGACAGCTGGCTTATTGCAATCTCCCTAACACAGACAGTGTCAGAATTCATGTCCTGTCCAGGAAAAGTTTTCCTTCTTGGTTCAAGAGAAGTTATTACTAGTCCGCTTTGACCTGGACCCTCTCTGCTTGTTGACCCAGTTTATTTATTTATTTTTGGTGACCTACTGAGCTTTGTTAGGATTATGTGCAGGAATATGGGTGAAGTTTTTTTTGTTTTTGAGGTGGTCTATAACTTAAGCTGGCCTCCAGTTCAAAGCAAACCTCCCACCTCAATCGAGGCTGCCCAACTGCTGGGATTACAGGCATAAACCACCAAGCCTGGCTCTGCTATGAAGTTTTAGCAAAGGACTCAAATCTCCTGTCCTAGGAGCCTCGGTCGTGCAGTGATGCCCCTTAAGAGTCTCGATCATGAAGCATGGGGTTGGGGAAGTGGAGTGCCTTCTCGCTGAGCTGGCTGTGGCCCAATGCAAGAAAGGCAGAGAGTCCAACCCAGAGGCTTCCAGGAGGAGGAGACCAGACCGGCTCAGCAGGACCAGGAGAGCCGGGTACTTTCTTGAAGGAAGAGTCCTGTAGGGCTGGAAACAACCCTTCTTCTGCGTCCTCTACCCCAAGGATGCCCTGGCGTTGGACCTTCGGGGCCTGGTCTGGAGGCGCTGGGGATGGTGGCAGCGCCCGTGTCATGGACGCCGGGGCAGTGGCCAGGACTGGTTGGCCTAGCAGGGAGAGGGGTGAGGGCCCGGCTGGGGGCTCTGCCGCCCTTAAAAGGAGCTCGGAGCGTGGCGGCCACGCCCTGACCACGCCCCCGCCACGCCCCTCCTCCAGCGAACTTGTTGGGCTTGTGGGAGGGCGACTGGGGGCTTGCTGCTCACGGGCCCTTCGGCTCCGAGACCCGCGTGGCCGTCTACAGCGTCGCCATGTCGTCGGTGTTCGGAAAACCCCGCGCGGGCAGCGGGCCGCACAGTGCACCCCTCGAGGTTAACCTGGCCATCCTGGGGCGCCGCGGGGCCGGCAAGTCCGGTGAGTGGCGCGGGGCGGGGGTGGCGTGCATGTGGCGAGGTGAATGGGGGCAGCTCCATCCAGGAGCTCCTGGGACTCCTTCCCCAGGCGACTGGGTGAGTCCCTGTGACTTGATTCTTTGCCTCAGTTTCCTGTTGCTGCCTCCTGTTCTTAGCTTCCCCATCTCTATCTGTGGTAGCTCCTTGTATGTCTCTTTGAGACGCCCCCTCCCCTGCCTCTCTTTGTATCTCCCAAGTGCTCCATCTCCATCCCTGGGACCTGCAGCCAGTCTTGGTGACTGACACCAAAGAGACCTGTTGGGGACACTGATCTCCAGCCCAAGGCCCTTTTTGAACTTGGTGGCAGCCTTGCAGCTTCCAGATTTGGGCCGTCCATCTCCACTCCCTCCTCCAAGAAACTTGGTAGAAGATAAGGATTTCTCAGGGACAGGCCACTCCTCCACTGCCAACCCTTGGGATTCTGAAACGGCCTGCTTTCTTATCAAATGTATTTGTTTCAAGCCAGACCCCTTTTGGCTTTCTGGGAACACACTGGGCTGTGGTCCCAAGTGCCAGGAAAGACTTGTCCTTGGGGAACCAGGATCTTGGGCTACCACTGAGATAACTTCTGTCAACACAGAATTCTACTTTCAGCACTCCTAAAAGCCACCACAGAGACCCTAAAAGGAGGGTTTTCCCCCTCCACCCGCGACTTTGAGTCCCAGACAGCTGAAGAGGGGAGGACAAAAGGGGCTCCTCCCCTGGCTATTTAGTTGTAACTGACAGTGAATGGCCAGTCTTACTCTGATTTTGAAGCCAGTACCCCTGGCTCAGAGTGGGGACCCAGAACACAATTTCCTCTAGAAAAATTTTGCTCTTAGTCCAAAATCAACATTTTCCTCAGTGACTCAACACCATAGATCAGCCAATGAATATATGAATGAAGGAATTTATTTTGAGACCGAGTCTCATGTAGCCTAGGTTGGCCTGGGACTTGCTATGTAGCCAAGGATGGCCTTAAACTCCTAATCCTCTTGCACCCACCTCCCAAGTGCTGGGATTATAGGTATGTACCACCATACCTGGCTTATGCAGTGCTGGAGATTGAACCCAGGGTTTCATGCATGCTAGGGAGTTTTTTGACTATATCATATTACTTTTTCTTTTTTTTTTGGTCTTTTTGAGACAGGGTCTCCCTGTAGCTCCAGCTGTCCTGAAACTCACTATGTAGACCAGGCTGGCCTTGAACTCACAGAAATCCATCTGCCTCTGCCTCCCGAGTGCTGGGATCAAAGGCATGTGCCACCAAGCCCAGCTTATCATATTTTTAAGAGTCCAACCAGTCCAGCCAGTTGTGGTGGGGATGCCTTTAATCCCAGCACTTGGGAGGCAGAGGCAGGCAAATCTCTGAGTTCGAGGCCAGCCTGGTTTCCATAGCCAATCCAGCCCAGCTATTGCTACAGGGAGGTCCTGTGTCAAAAAGACCAAAAAAAAAAAAAAAAAAAAAAAAAAAAAAAAAAAAAAAAAAAAAAAAAAAATCCAACATAGATACAGTATAGTTGGCTTACCCGTGCCTTTATGTGGCTGAGCTATGAATGGAAACAGTCCTGTTAGTGCACTCAGCAAGGGAGAAAGAACTCAATTCTGGAGTCTTGCATTCTACAGAGATACCCTGGAGGCTGTGGAAATCCTACAGAAAGCCAAGGCCCAAGACCTGGAGGACTCAGACTAGAGTGTGTTAACTTGGGACACAGCCTGTCCTGGACCTTGCCTAGAAACCCCATGCCCTTGGGGGTTCAAACCTTCCCAGGAACAGTTCAACTCTGCACTCACTGTCTCTGGCTTATAGCCAGAGCTGGAATAAATGCCCCATGCTACAGAATTAGTGTGACTCATCCAGGGTAAGGGACATGCCCCTTCAGTTGGGGCCTCACCAGACCTCAGGGTAACTAGATACAGGCCTTGGATGTTCACGAGTATCACTTAGATTTATCTCTTGCTGCTTCTCCTGCTAATCATAATTTAAAAAATAAAAAAAGTTTCATGGTTCAACTAGTGGGACTAGGCATCCCATTTTTATGACTTCTAAGCCAATTCTTCAGCTCTGCAGCCTGGGGCCCTGGGAGAGTCAAGCTGGGTGTCAGCCAGAGACCACAGAGGTCACTTAGGCCTTCTTAGAGTGAGAAGGGGTGGTTGCTGGGGGCCAGCAGACATAGCAGTAGACTGAACCCACCTCTTTCTGCTTCTTGCAGCCCTAACTGTGAAGTTTCTGACCAAGAGGTTTATCAGCGAATATGACCCCAACTTGGGTAAGAAACCACTCTTCCTGGGTCTCCTGCTGACTGGGCCCCACCTGGATGTTCCCTTGAGACTTCCCTGTGGGTGGGCCCTGACCAGTACTGCACATCTGGGAGGAGCCACAGGGATGTTTCAACCCATCTGGGGGGCTGGCCCAGATGGAGGGACTGAGAGAGAATGTTTTCCCTAAAATATGAGATGCGATGAGACTTTAAAAGCAATTAAAAAAAAAAAATAGTAGAATGTCCACATCCAAATAGGTACTGTTTTTCCAGATGGCTACTCAGTGTTCCTTCCCAGGAGAGCCAAAAATGGTATTTAAGACATTCTCTACTGGTGCTGGCTTCTGAACCATTCTTTATTATTTTTTGTTTGTTTTGAGACAGGGTCTCCCTGTAGCCCCAGCTGGCCTGAAACTCCCTACATAGACCAGGCTAGCCTGGATCTCACAGAGATCTTCTTGCCTCTGACTCCTGAATGCTGGGAGTAAGGGCCACCCACTGTGCCTGGCTTTTTTGTAAAGCTAGGTTTGGATGGTGACTCTGGCATTAATTGGCTGGACAACTTTGAGACAGTCACTTAACCTCTCTGACCTACTGTTTCCTCATCTGATAAATGGGCATAAATATACCTGTATCAGAGAATTGCTGTGAGGATTAAAGAAATAACACATTAAAGATCTAGCCTAGGAGGGCCTGGAGAGACGGCTCAGCGGTTAAGAGTACTGACTGTTCTTGCAAAGGACGGGGTTCAGTTCCCAGACCCCCATGGCAGCTAACAACAGTCCGTAACTCCAGTTCCAGGGGATCCGACACCCTCTTCTCACCTCTGTGGGCATTGCACAACACAAGTACATTTACACACATGCAAATAATACACTCATACAATAAAAAATAATAAATAAAGCCAGGCGTGGTGGCCCATGCCTTTGATCCCAGCACTCGGGAGGCAGAGGCAGGTGGATCTCGGTGAGTTCGAGGCCAGCCTAGTCTTCATAGTGAATCCAGGACACCCATGCCTTTGATCCCAGCACTCGGGAGGCAGAGGCAGGTGGATCTCGGTGAGTTCGAGGCCAGCCTAGTCTCCATAGTGAATCCAGGACACCTGGGGCTACAGGGAGACCCTGTCTCAAAAAGACCAAAATAAATAAATAAATAAAATATTTTTTAAAAAATCTAGCCTAGGAGCTGCTATGTGGTAATGCACACTTTTGATCCCAGCACTCTGGAGGCAGAGGCGGGCAGATCTCTGTGAGTTTGATTGCCACCCTGGTGTATATAGTGAGTTCCATGCTAACCAGGGCTATAACACCCTGTCTCAAAAAACAAAAAACAAAAAAAATCTATCCATACTTGACCCTAGTAGACTCTCAGTGCATATTTGTGTTTCCCTTCTCCTCAAATGGCTTCCCGGGCATACTGCTCTCATATCCATCAGATCAGTGTCTCTGAAACTTATTTTTAGCAGCAGGATTTTTTTCCTCAGATAAGTGCTTATGTGGCATCCTAATACACAAAACAAACAAAATTGGAATCCGATCAGCATCAAAGTAACGTATAGCTCATCTTTACAACATTTTTATTATAACTGTCCACTGACAATGAGGTGTCTGAATGAACTTAGCCTTTTGAAAATGGTCTTGTTTTACCCAGGGTGTGCACTACCAAGCCTGGTTCATGCTGAGCTGGGGATGGATGCAGGGCTTTGTGTGTGCTAGGCAAGTATTCTAGCAGCCGAGCTACATCCGGGCCACTGTGTTTGTTTTTTTTCTGGCCATCTATTTCTTCCTCCCTGCCACTCATTCATACCCTTACAGGATCCCAACAGATGATTCCAGTACAGTGGTAGTTTTAGCTTCCTGGTTGAGTAATTTTGGAATTTTGACCTGGCAGTGGAACATGTGGTCAAACTGTCTGGGGTTGGGGGACAGAAGCCCATAATAGTTAGTCACCTTAGCTTTTTGAAATCTTTTCTTTTCTTTATTATTTTTATTTTATATGTATGAGTATTGCCTGCATGTGTATATAAGTGCACCCATGTCATGCAATGCCCACGCAAGTCAGAAGAGGTCGTCAGATCCCCTGGAACTGGAGATATGGATGGATGCTAGCCACCATGTTGGTACTAGGACTCAAACTCAAACCCAGGTCCTCTGCAAGAGCAGTCATGCTCTCTTTCTTTTCTTTCTTTCTTTCTTTCTTTCTTTT